TAAGCCATTCTCCCTAAGAATGATGTTCTTTCCATGATCCTAATGATCCATTTTTATTGCCAGGTTTGTGGCTGCCACTGTTCTGAGCATCAATCATGTAAATTCCTTGAAACTTGAATCGGAGTGCTCGGCCCCTGGCGAGAAGCCACAGTTCCTGGGTGTTCGCGAGCAGCGTGTGACACACATCATGATCTTCCTAACGATCGGTGTTTCGGTGCTGCTGACACCGCTGCTCGGTCACATTCCCATGCCGGTTCTGTTCGGTGTGTTCCTTTATATGGGCGTGGCCTCGCTCAAGGGTCTGCAGTTCTTTGATCGCATACTGATCATGTTCATGCCAGCCAAATACCAGCCAGATTACATGTTCCTGCGACAGGTAAACTATCGGAAAGATCTTCTATGCTTTAAACGTTACTAAATGACTGATTTCCAATTTCCTCGGACAGGTTCCCATCAAGCGAGTTCATTTGTTCACCGTCATACAGCTGGCCTGTCTGATCATACTCTGGCTAATCAAATCCTTCTCGCAGACGTCAATTCTCTTCCCTCTCATGCTGGTGGTGATGATCGGCATACGCAAGGCCCTCGATCTGGTCTTTACGCGTCGAGAGCTTAAAATCCTCGACGATATTATGCCGGAGATGACGAAGCGAGCCGCCGCCGATGATCTGCATCAATTGGACGCTGAGGTGGGCTTTGTTCAGAAATTTTTACCCTGTTTCTTCGGTGGTCGCGGCCAGCCCGACACCAAGGCTGGTCTTGAAGGTGGCGCTGGTAATGGCGTCGGCCTCGGCCTGATCACGTGCAACAGCTCAAATGCAAATGAAAAGGAGTTCGAGGCTCAGAGTAGTCTGCTCAAAAAGTAAACACCCGCACTCTGGCACTGGCACTGCGCACAGTCCACAGTCACATCTAGAAACTAGAAACAAGTGCACCCCGTTATCAGATCAGCCCCATTTCATTTGCGTTTGCGTTTGCAGAGCTGGCCAGTCCACAGTCCACCCGCACAAATCATCGATCATTGATGGCCGTTGGCCGATGACCGATGAACGATAACCGTTTCGATGGTGCCGATTCTAAAAACTAAATTATTCTTAGATATCATTCTTTTAAATTGCATTTTGTCGGTACGACTCTATCTACTTGTATATGCATAATACTCGTACTCTGTTCTATACGTTTTGTTTTTCTTTTATCCTGTCTTTAACAGTATTTTGTAAATGTTTATCCCCTGTTTAGCCCTATCAATTTTAATTTAATTTTAAATCTTGGCATGCAGCTATTTTTACATTTTGTTTTTTTATATACTTGTACGATATTTTTTTGCCAATCGGAAATCGAGCGCAACTGTACCTACTGTAAATGCTAATCCCAAACAAACAAAAAATCAAAAAAGATTAATTATTTATGTTGTCGCTTTTCGTAATGCAAAACAAAAATTTGTTATCTATCCGAAACCTACTCTAAATACTACTCCTACTCTATATATATATATAATCATAAAGAATATTTATAAATGTAAATGAAATTCTAGCCATAAGCCATTGTTAGTCATGCTGTGCGCAAACGTTTACACTGTACAACAAGTACCTAAATGTATTAAATGGAACCTGTTATGTTATTTTATAGTCATCATCGGATCAAAAGTTCCCAGTAACTAACCGAAAACCCCCACAAAAACTAGCCGGAGATAAAAAAAAACAAAACAAAACCACCCCACCACAAATATTTGTAGCGAAATTGATGTAAATTTTAGAAGTCAAAAAAACACAAAAAATAAACTGAAAATTTGGCATAAAAGAAAATTTTACACACCCATTGGCTCGAAGATCAAACACGGATACACCTCACCTGTACAACATTCACCAGCAGAATATTAGCCACAGAATATAGTACCGTACCACAGTTCCATTAGCAGAACATTCGCATTCTTCCAATGGAATGGTTCCGAAGGAATCCGTTCGCTTATGGGAATTTTCTGAAGCATCAATCGAAGAATGCACCCGAATGTGTTCTAGTGGAACCGTGGTAAAAGTTGGGACACAGACACACAATACACCTATCACCCTTTCTTCACTCTTTCTCTGCTACACTGTGCTATACTCGTTACTCTCTACCTATCCGTATCTCCTACTCTTCTGTGAGTTCGTTTTTGGACCCAAAACAATGGAAATATGCTAATTTTATATTAAAGGATAATCATCATCAGCATCAGCAACCGCCTGGGGCGGGTACCGGCACAGGACCCAACTATAATCCGAATAATGCGGGTCCCACCACCATACACATTCCTCTCTCTGGCAGCAAGCCGGCCAGTGGCAATGGATCGGGCATAAATATACCCCAAGAAGCGGTGAATCGAACCACAGTCTGGCAGCAGATCAACAAGGATGGGAATGGCATATCCGAGCAGCTCATCATACCAGTGACCGTCAAAGTTCGACAGATCAATGGAAATCAGTAAGTGTTCCAGTAGAGAGTCCTGTTCCTGGTGCCGCGCAAATCAGACACTCAAACACATACTCGTACAATCATGAGCTGCTTAAACTCCTAAGCTTGATTTTTTGTATATATGAATCTATCTTTCTGCTTCCCAATCTCCCATCTATCGACTATAATACTCGTATCATTCATGCTCGTCTATGCATTCCCCCACATGCCACCCTCTCTTCAGTGCCTCAACAAATGCCGCCCTCTCGCCGCGCCTATCGCCCATGCACGAGGCGGATGAGACCGAAGTCACCATCAATACGTCGAATCCAAGTCCACAGCAGCAGATCATCAACTGTAAGGAGGCGGCAGCCAAGCTTGAAGGATCCACGGTCACCAGCCAGAATCCGGCCAACATAACACCCGTCTAAGGTCTACCTACCGATCAGGATCAGATTTATACCGAACAAATGCACAAAACATACACTCAAACACACATCTACTCGTATTGTAGTACATACTTCTCATAGAAATACCAGTATCATAATCTCTAAAAAGAGTGGAAAGTCTTTCTCTGTACTTTCTATTCAATATATAGTAGTAGTTTTTTCACCACAAACATTTTGGTAACGATTTTTAGCTGTGCCAGGGGCAAAGAAAATCATTGGATTTTTGTGCTCAGGTACAAGCTATAGAAGTATTATTTATAAATATGATAAATATAGTAACCCAAACCATTCCAAGTATACACATTTTTGAGGCGATTTTTTATAGAGACTATGGTCAATTCCAACAAAAACTGATCGAGAAGATCCCCGAGACTTCGGTTCCACCGAAGCACAACCATTTTCCTATATTTACTCTTCTTTTGGCTGGATTTATTCTGTGTTATGGGGGGTTGGGGTAGAGTTTGATAAGCTGTGATCTGATGTGAATTTTAGGGGGGAATTTTAGAAGAAAGCCACTCATTTAGCCTAGCCAAGACGGAGAAAACATTGTATTATTATTTATGCCTTAACCTAAGTTACAAAAAATCACTACACATCCCACACACATCCATGACTATACCTATATAAAATATAACTATAAATATTGAATAAAAATTAATGTGGAAAATACACCAATTACCACAAGAAGCGAAAACAGCGAAACCGAAACCGAAATAAAATCCGAAACCCAATTTTGTATCTTTCATTTGATTACTTTACTTGGTATGCATCGTTCGTTTTTCTTTCAGTGTAGTTGTGAGTGTTGCGTGTGGCACATAGTGTTCTATACTCTATCTCTGTATACATCCCATCTAGCACCAGATTCGAGCTCTGCCTGTCTTCCATTCAACCAAAACGAATCAAGCATCAATCAGCCATCAGCCATTTGTCAAGAATTATGTATGAAAAGGGAAACAGAGTTTGCGCAAATATACGTATCATTCATTGTAAATTATTCAAATAATTTCTTTTTAAAGAAATCCCTCAATACGAGCTAGCTATCTTCAATGATAAATACCTCAGCATGATACATACTTTTTATATCTTCACAAGCTCTGTTTAAAAAAAAAAACAAACTCATGGCCTCATATGCATTATGATTGATGTCTGTATATTTATTATTTATAATTACCCTTAAATCGTATGTATGTATATATAAAGATACGCCAGTCTAGGTATCCTTTGTACGATTACCAACAAGATCCTATTAACAATTGCATTTCATTCTTGCAGAACAGAAAATTTGATACGTCGAAGCAATTGTGGCGTGGATATCTTACACCAACAGAAACATCCGTTTGAGTCAATGATTTAATATGATTTTGATTAGTGTCTCATTGTGTATAAGTACAACAATTATTTGTGTGTCTAACTATAATCTGTCTGTCTATATCTTATGTGTATGTTCTACCAACCGTCCTGTGATGTGAATCTCTCAAGTGCGTTGGTTATTATTCTCAAAATTGCAACATATCAAGAGGCAAAACAGAAACAATTTAAACTGCATCTGATAAATCTATTTAAATCTATGCAATTGAAATAAATGTGTAAAATGAACTCTAGACAATATTCAATGGGTACAGAAATCTAATCGGCACTTACACTTCGGCCTTGGCTTCAACTCCAGGAAATGCTTTAATGGCATTGTATTACCACAGAGAAACGAATACAGTGGCTCTGGCCATCTAGCGATTAGGACTGAATATTCTAAACTAGGAAACAAGGAAGCCCCTTCAGAAGGTCCAGATTTTGTTGCTCCGTAATAATTAGCTTCAGTAAGTCCGCCTGAAAACAGGAGCCTGCTTGAATACGGTGCTACGGTGCAGCTACATTTTCAAGGCGCTTTCCCTGTCGTCCTCTTTCATTCACTCTATGCAATTTATTTTAAATTGAAATAAATGTCTAAAATCGAAGTTTTAGAGCATAAAAGCGAGGTTAAAATAAAACATTTGAATTGCGCGCCCTCTATGTCATTGTGCGACACTACGAAATCGTGTTATTGTCGCTTTGCAACACCGTCAGCTGTGTTGCTTGCTGTTTTGTCTAGCGCGTGTTTTTTACTTAGATTCCGTATTTATTAATTAAAAACTTAGTAAAATGTCTTTGATAACGCGTGTACTGCAGGGTAATCTGACGCGCAAAAATGCACTGCAGACGTTGACTCGGGTAAGAGGCCTTAACAGGGTAGAACTTATCCAGCCGAGTTTGCCGACTGTTATGTAATTTGATTGTTGTAGGAATTCGTTTTAATTAAGTTATTTTCCCCCAGTGCGGCTACAGCTCGCATGCCAAGTTTGCGGAGCACCGGCCCATCGAAAAGATCCGCAATATAGGAATCTCGGCACACATAGACAGCGGGAAGACGACGTTGACGGAGCGAATCCTCTTCTACACCGGGCGCATTGCGGAGATGCACGAGGTGCGAGGCAAGGACAATGTGGGCGCCACCATGGACAGCATGGAGCTGGAGCGACAGCGTGGGATCACCATCCAGTCGGCGGCCACCTACACCATGTGGAAGGACACGAATGTAAATATCATCGACACGCCCGGGCATGTGGACTTTACGGTGGAGGTGGAGCGTGCACTGCGTGTGCTTGATGGCGCTGTCCTCGTCCTCTGCGCCGTGGGGGGAGTTCAGAGTCAGACGCTGACAGTCAACAGACAAATGAAGCGCTACAATGTTCCTTGTTTGGCATTCATCAATAAGCTGGATCGCTTGGGATCGAATCCCTATCGCGTGCTCTCTCAAATGCGCTCCAAAATGAACCACAATGCTGCCTTTATCCAACTCCCAATTGGTGTAGAGAGCAACTGCAAGGGCCTGGTGGATTTGGTAAGAGAGCAAGCCATCTACTTTGAAGGAGAAAACGGAATGGACGTTAGGCTGGACGAGATCCCGCAGGATATGCGTGTGGAGAGCCAGGAGAGGCGACAGGAGCTCATTGAGCATCTGTCCAATGCGGATGAGACTTTTGGTGAATTCTTCCTCGAGGAGAAACCCTTTTCGGAGGCCGATCTCAGGGCTGCCCTAAGGAGGACCTGCATCAATCGAACATTTACGCCCGTTCTGGTAGGAACGGCTTTGAAAAACAAGGGCGTTCAACCTCTGCTCGATGCTGTCATCGATTACCTGCCCAATCCCGGAGAAGTGGAGAATCTGGGCTTCATCGAACGGGAGGGCAAGGATCCCGAGAAGATTGTCCTCAATCCAGCACGCGATGGCAAGGATCCATTTGTGGGTCTGGCCTTCAAGCTGGAGGCTGGACGCTTCGGTCAGTTGACGTACCTTCGCTGCTACCAGGGCGTTCTCCGCAAGGGCGACAATATCTTTAATGCCCGCACGAATAAGAAGGTGAGGATTGCCCGCCTCGTGCGTCTGCACTCCAGCCAAATGGAAGATGTCAATGAGGTCTACGCTGGGGATATTTTTGCCCTGTTTGGAGTGGACTGCGCCTCCGGTGATACCTTCACTACGAATCCCAAGAACAACCTTGCCATGGAGTCGATCTTTGTGCCGGAGCCCGTCGTTTCAATGGCCATCAAGCCAAACAACACCAAGGATCGGGATAACTTCTCCAAGGCCATTGCCAGATTCACCAAAGAGGATCCCACCTTCCACTTTTTCTTCGACAATGATGTAAAGGAAACGCTTGTATCGGGAATGGGGGAACTTCACCTGGAGATCTATGCCCAGCGAATGGAGCGGGAATACGGCTGTCCCGTGACGCTTGGCAAGCCAAAGGTGGCCTTCCGCGAGACCCTCGTCGGCCCCTGCGAATTCGATTACCTGCACAAGAAGCAATCTGGAGGATCGGGTCAGTATGCTCGCATCATTGGCGTGATGGAGCCCCTGCCGCCAAATCAGAACACGCTCCTGGAGTTCGTGGACGAGACGGTGGGCACCAATGTGCCCAAGCAGTTTGTCCCTGGCGTGGAGAAGGGCTACCGGGAGATGGCCGAACGAGGCATGCTCTCCGGACACAGATTGTCGGGCATTAAGTTCCGCCTGCAGGACGGTGGCCATCACATTGTGGATTCCAGTGAGCTGGCTTTCATGCTGGCCGCCCACGGAGCCATCAAGGAGGTCTTCCAGAATGGCAACTGGCAGATCCTCGAACCCATTATGATGGTCGAGGTGACGGCACCCGAGGAATTTCAGGGCGCCGTCATGGGTCATCTGAGCAAGCGTCATGGCATCATCACAGGAACCGAGGGAACGGAAGGATGGTTCACGGTCTACGCAGAGGTGCCTCTGAACGACATGTTCGGCTACGCGGGAGAATTGAGGTAAGTGGCAGAGCCTTGACCACTTAAGAGTACGAAAAAGCTTCTCTAATCTATTTCATTCCACAGATCTAGCACCCAAGGAAAAGGAGAGTTCACGATGGAGTACTCCCGATACTCTCCCTGCCTGCCTGATGTCCAGGACCAGATTGTGCGGCAATATCAGGAAACCCAAGGAGCTTCCCAACCTGACAAAAAGAAAAAGAAGAACTAACTCAGAGCTTAGCACTAGTAAAGTCATATTTTTAAGCAGCAAACACTACCATCTCCCCCAAATCGTCGTGTCATTAAGCCAGCTCTATCCTTAGTTAAATTTCGATTCAGTTTTTACTGTGATAATCACTCCATGTACAGTCCTTTTTGTATATTAAAGTTGACTACAAAATACAAACAAATTGGCACATTGTCGTTTTTCTCCGGATGGTTGATAGGATTAGAAACTAAACAAGATGGTTTTCAAACTATTTTCACACTCACAAGTGTTTGTGTGGTTATTATTCGAAATCGAGTCTCGGTGGGATCGGTTGATTCAATACAAAAAAATCTTTTAAAATTTCCACAGTATCATCGGTTAAGTCATTAAGAAATGGTTGCGAGAGAAAAAACAGAAAATTAGTGTTCGTATCCGTAGCAGGGACGACTTGGGTATTACGAGGGATCAGGGATCTATGAATATTTTGGAAGTGGAAAATTCAAGAGTTGAGAGCGCGCCATTCTGTTTTTGTTCCTATGAAAAAGTTTCCTATCACGAAGTGAACCACAAAACTAGTTCCGATACTTTTTATTCAAAGATAAAATCTAGAAGAGATGTCATAGTTTAAGCTAAAAAAAAAGCTGAATATGCTTACTTACGTTTTACCATTGAATACCCTAGGGTATTATACATCTGATATCATTGTATCATCTGGGGCTCCAATGACGGCATACACTAGTCAGCTATCTCAACTTCGCAATCTGTGGAAAAGACATGATGAATTAAATTGCAGAGCAGCTTGGAAAGCACCATTTGTTACAGTACTTAAAGAAAATAGGGTATACAAATGTCCAAACATAGCTTAAACCGGTTGACCAACAACAATTACGCAGCATTCCGTGCATACTTACGTTTTTTGCTTTCAAACTCAACAATGGAACACAAAAATGAGCACGACACGCTCAAAGTCGCATGATGAAAATATACAAGGTATGGACAACAGACAAAAACAGACAGGGAAATTTTCAAAGGGGCTACGAACCTTACCTCGCCGTGTTTCGTCATCAAGGTATGTTAGGCAAATGGGGTGAATTTTACGTTGCATGCTCTGCATTTTCTGGGACGTTTTGCCTGTTGTACATACCCTATTTTTCCTCAGCTATTTCCCATGGGGGAAATTTTATAAACTTCCCGCCATGGTATGTTATGCAAAAGGGGTGCATTTATCATAGCATTCGTTGCATTTTCTGGGCCGTGTTGCCTGTTGTCTATACCTTCTTTTTCACAGAAATTTCCAAGCGGGCGGATTTTAATGAAACGGCCTTGCAGCCCAAAACAAACGCAAAAGAAACAAACACAAAAGGCACAAACACAATTCGGAAGTTTTACTCGACGGGTCGTCGCGCGGATGGTCGCAAGCAGAAAATGCAAACAGAGGCGAAATAAAGGAAAATATATAGTCGAGGAGGGTGGCAAATGCGATAATGCGACGAGACAACAATTATACGTGGACCGTGCAGCAAAACTATAACTTTTAATAGTTTTCCGGATCGACAAAGAGCAGCGGCAGCAACCACAACAAGATCTAGCTTGATTAAATTAACCCGGAAAATGCAATCAAGCCAAGGGGAAAGAGAAAGCAACGTAAATCTGCTGGACTATAGGGTATGCGATAAGCCAAAGATGTCATGGAAATGGAGCGATTTCTGCTAGGCCCTCTGCTTTTCCTGTCTAGTGAAAGGTGTGCGCAGGAAAATTGCTGACAATTCACAAAAACCAAAAATTTCGGGAGGGGAGCGTGCGGGCGGAGTGGAGCGGAGCGGAGGCGTTCATTTCGGGAAAATTCAATACAAAAACGCGGAAAGCAAAAGAAAAACAAAAACTGCAAAAATAACAACAACAAAATAAAGAGTGACAGACAGAGAGCAAAGAAATATCTGTCGAAAGCAAGAAAGGCAAAAGCAAAAGCAGCTGTGTTTCGTGTACCTGTGCACAGTCCATGTGTGTGCGTGCGTGTTCGCGTTCGTGTGCGAGAGCAGCAGAAGATCAGCAGAAGAGCACCGAAGAATCAACAACAAAAGAGTCGGCGAGAGGTTGTCTCCCCATCTCTGTCCCTCCTTCGAGGACTTCCTCTCTTTTCTTCCTTCGAGGATAGGATCCTCTGCCGACAGCATTATAATGCCTACAACAGCATCCCTACAAACCGAAACGACTACTTCCAGAGGCCGGCTTTTAAGCAACAAATATAAAAGCAACCAACACTAGTCAACATAAAATCACACCAAACAACTCCTCGACCACAAAAAAGGGAAAACATATCCGTCAAAACACACACAAAACAAACCAGGAATAAAATAACTATATCCTAAGTAAATTAGAAAGAAATCCAACTGAATTTTAAGTAAAATCAATTAAAAAATGGATTGGATAATCAATGATGAGATGGGCCTGACGGTCGGCCATGTGGTGGGCTGGGCCGCCGCCTCAGCGATGGTCATTGGCGGCGTTATACCGTATGTACCGCAGTACATAGAGATCAAGAAGACACAGGATGCGGAGGGCTTCTCATTGTACGTCTGCCTGGCCTTGCTGATAGCGAATTCGCTGAGAATACTATTTTGGTGAGTGAAAATCAAAGAAATCTCTATGGAGATCCTAAGTGCAGCACAGCATACACCCCATTTTTATCTGCTTAAGCTTTTCTCCAGTGCAACTAAACTCTCATCTTTTTGCACCTATGTATTCCAAAAGGTTGTATGACTAATCCGCCATATTCTTTAAGCACCCCATATCTGTGCCGTCTTATCTTGGGCGGGGGCAATACAAAACGCTTCGCTTATCGTCTGGAATGCTCTCATGGTTGTTCCATAACTGACATTTTATAGCCAGCCGAATCGAATGGCATAAGATATGGCGAATTATGATGTTAATTATTCGCTAATGGAACTTAAAATTCTACAGAATATCATTAAACATTCTCTAACACTGTAGTAGTAGACATTCAATCCGCTTACTTGGATGAAAGACACTTATGAAGAACTTAATCCAATGAGCCTTAGTGAGTGGTTTCTTTTTGTAAATAGAGCTTGCACTATCATCAGATAAAACCTTTATATTACATTTTCCGATCGGTTTTAGCTTCACCCCAACATCTTCTCGCAATGCACAAAATATTTAAAATTTCCTATAAAACCGCCAAACGGGAAATACCCCAACAATGCATATATTTATCTTCTTTAAGAGTTGATTCATCGCTCGGATACACAAAGGCAAGAAATATATAAATCAAAATTAATAACACAAATTGTTAATTCAATTTGAATGAGTGTGCAAAATAGCATTCCAAATGTCGCAATGCCCCACGACACGAACCAATGAACCAAAAGATGCCTGCCCCATTGAAACCAGTTGAAACCGCCTTTTAGGTGAAAGAATACGTACTTATTAAATTCTGATTGATTATGTTTTTAAAGACACTTCATTATGTAAATCGCACTCGATTTTACGTTTTTTAAGGCTATCAAGTGATTGCCTTTGACTGCGACTGCGACGGCGACCAGGGTCAACCAGTTTTGCTAAGCTGATTTCTGTTGCTGTTGCTGGTGCTGTTTATCTACCTCCCCCTTGGAAAACCGCATCAATTATTAGTAGTGGTAGTTGTCTAAGGCCTGCTCTGACTACTTCCTCACGTCACTCGCGGCTCAACAATCTATAAATTATTGAAAAGAAAAGTAAAAAATGTATTGTACAAAAGCAACTGGTGTCCCTCGTGGACGACGACGTCAATTTGTCTGGTGCCTGCCTCTTGTGGCAATCAATAAATTAATTATTTAGCTAGAAAACTGTTGCCCCCGGCAAGTACTTCAAATGAATCAGCTGTTCGGCATTCTGCAACGCACCAATGCCACCAAAGCCGCAGCGAATAATGTTGGTTGTAGTAGGTATTGTTACATATTTGTACCCTGTAATCGGGTGGGGGTATGATGTTCCTTACATGACACTGTAGGGAACGACGATTGTTTAGGCTCAACCTACCATCTTCTTGGAAATACCAAGATGATCTAGTACATATTACCCCAATTTTTACCAATGTTTCGCAGCCTATTTATCAGTTTAAATACCTGAAATGTTGTGTTATTCTTAATTATAGGGATATAGAGTATATATTTTGTAGATTACTATATGTAACTACTGTCTATCTATCTACCAAAAATCCTCTAGAAATGCGAAAAAGATAGTGCTCAGAACTCTTGGGTGTTTTCTTGCTTTTAAATTCCCTCCTCACAATTCCAAGTGCGGGGTATCCCATAGTTGGTATATAGCCTACAGTTGTAACGTTTTACTTGTTTTATATATAGAGCGAAACGTTTGTATATATATATATGTTTGTACGTTTATGTAGGATACGTTGAGGGGAGGCGGCGGTTTTTTTTTGTCACGCGATTGCATTAGCCGCCCAGAGCGACATGAATTTCTCTAGCGTTCTATACGGCGGAGGGAGCAGAGTGGGAGCAAAGTTTAGTAACTTTTTTAAAACCCCTCTCTAGAATAATAGTGTAGTGAAAAATAGATATACCCGTTGATTGCACTTGTACTCGCATGAGTATGGGGGAAGTGCTTTCAGCAATTAAGCATTTCCTTCATTTTTCTATTTTTCCTTACCGACTCGAAATAATTATCATTAGTTCCACCCACGCGGACAGACAGATAGATTTCTAAGCCTCTGTGCTAAAATTTAACTGGCAGTTTATTGAAAATACAAAACAAAACACGAACCCCAAAGCACTTTAACTATTTTCAGCAACAACAAATTGCCGGAATAACTATTCGCCTCGAATGGCAATTGCAATTAATTATTAAATGTGCAAAGAAATATGTATAAATTATAAAGCACATACTATATTATATGTACATACGAGGCTATTACAGGCGGGCATACAGTGGGGAATACTTACCAACAAAAGATACACTTACAGATCAAGATACAGATAGGTTAGGTTAGGTTAGGTTGACCCGGACAGCCCTCAGAGGGGGCCCCACATAGGCCAGTATCGCCCTTAGTTGTCCGGATAGGGATACAGATAAGAACAAAGTGATTCTCAGAACTTCTCGTGAGCGTATGACACATTCAAAGTCTTGCATATTTAACAATGATTTATTCCACAAATTTCCATTTTCTGATTTCATTTGTATTTGTGGTTG